GAAACTCCTGGGGATATCGTCCAGAGCATTGGAGTAGATACCATCAGTATGGTGAGAACACACAGCAATATTATTTCTTATCATCTAACTCCTCTAAAATATTTACTAGCCTGGAATGCCTAATTTCAAAAGGGTAAGAGAGAACAAGTTTAACTTTTGGCAAAGTTGGAGGTATTGTTGGTGAATAGGTAAATTGCCTTGGAGATCACAGTTCAGATTGTTCTGGAGCAGAATATTCCCCTGCTAAAAAAAAATAGGTCCACAACCTAGGAATGCTACTGTATCCTTAGATGACACTGGATTCTCAGGAAGTTGAGTAATACAACCACAGCTAGAATACCAGCTGTAGCAGTTCTAATGGCTTAGGAACAACTCATCTTGACTATTGCATTTTACTTAGGGCTATCCTTAGAAACTGTCTTAAGTCCTTCACTCTGTCTGCCTTTAGAAAATCTGAAAAGACACATTTCTTTAGCCAAGCTTTTAACATTTAATGATGTTACTAGGCATTTGCATTTTCTTATTTTAATTCTTTAATTGTGTGTGTATGTGTGTAATTGTTGTTTTACATGGTAACCCACCTTAAATATTCCATTTGTACATGAAGGAGAATATACATCAAGTATACTTAATTAAGTATTCTTCATTCAGTAATTAAGAAATACTGATATTATTCTATTGCCAGTATGGTTTGACTAAATCGGGGATAAATAACTTTTTTCTTTTGCTGGTCATTAAGTAGAATGCAAAGATTTGCACTCTAAAAAGTATCTGGGGAATTTGTAAATTATTTGAAGTGCAATTAAAGCCAATTAATATAATTACTCGTTTTTCATTTAATCATTTTTCTTTGCTGGGTTTCCATACTAGGTGATATAGCAAGATGGATGAATGCATGCATGCATGAATGAATGAATGAATAATAAAATTTGTTGGTAATTTTTGTAGTGCCACCTTGGGCTGTGTTCAGTGCTTCTGAGGACCTCATGCAGTCTTAGGACCTCAGGTTGTGTGCTTTTTTGCCCCAGATTGAAGAAGGCTGGTTTAGGAAGACTAATTTGGAAATAAAAAGGCATCAAAGCAACAGCTAATTAAGGCTGTAAAGAAGCTGTAAGCTGACAATGAAAGCCTCTATGTTCTAAACATATTTATTTCATCTCCCAGCTAGATGGAACCTATCTTATAAGTGCTTATTGCTATCACAAATATTTTTCCCCAAAATGACACCTTCAGTTCCCATCACTTTTTTATGCAAGGGTTTTACAAAAT